AGTGTGTGTGCGACAATGCTGATTGAGAAGTCATTTTACTTTCCACACGTGGTGACTACTTGCTATCGAAATCACTATGGCGAGCTGCTGACAAGGACAGGAGAACGCGGATTGTGTACTGAGGGAAAACCAACAAAAATGAAGTATTTCCCACATCATCAATTCGCCAATTCATTGTGGATGCTTAGTTGTCTGTTTTGCGTAACACCACTGATTTTCTTCTATAATCGGTGATAACAAGACAGGGAAAATGTGAATACTTTCTGCACAGCCGTTTTATTAAGGATAAATGCATTTGAGGGCAAGCTGGGTTGTTGCGGGAAAATGAGGCATATAGCACTATCAATATACCGTAATTTGATAGAAAAAGCGTTCGTCTAGAAGCGCTCATCCGTCGACGCAGTCTGTAGACCTGACACCCAACACTGATGTTTTGTGTGGGCCCCGGCATGTTGTCTTGAGCAACACCGGGGCCGCTGAGTTAGATCTCGCTCGGCTGCACTTTCCTGCTGTCCTTGACGAAGAACAAGACGGAGAGGGCGTGGACACAACCGTTTGCGTAAGATGTCATTGTGTTGGGTGTAGCGTTTGCGTGTGCATTTATAGCTTAATTTCGTGAGTCATAGATGCGCTAGCATCGCGACCTACGTGTGAGAATAATCGAGGTTAATCGTACACGCTAAAGAGAAGGGAGTTAAGGATCCTAGCGGTTGGCAACATACTGCGATTTCCTTGTTGATGCGTTTATTCGCTACATCTTCCTTGCCATTAAATTTTTCGAGCATGTCACCGTTGCTTCCGGGCAGACTGATGATATTGCCCTCACGATTGAATAATCGGCCACCGTGTTTGCGTGGCAATCCGAGACTGAAGACCACTCCGACATGGAGATGCGGACTGCGAGCTTTCTCGCGTTGCATGAATGCACGAAACGCCGTCCTTGCATCCCATCCGAGAATTCCACTTTTCACCACAATGACGAGGTCGTGTCTGGTGTTGTTTGAACAGACCGACTTGCTGGTTTTCAGAATGCGGATGGGGAAATTGTACTTTGGCATCTAGAAGAAGTAAGGCGCAGCAGTCTAGGAATTAAAATATCGCTCTCACATAAATGGTGCGAAGACTTATGCACATCATCCATTACCACTACTGGTGGCACTGAGGACGAAATTTAACTCCCTCAAAATGCAACGAGATTGGATAAATTAAAGTGGAAATCAGGTTTGCTTAATTTCGGACATTGACATCTGATCTAGCTGATATAAAATGTGCACAACCCTCTATTCACCCTTTAATTCACCGCCGTCATTTGTGCGTTGTTCAAATGTGCCTTCATTACATGTGTCCTAAATTTATTTGGGGCACAGACGTTAAACATCGATGTGGCTTCTTTCAATATGAACATATTAAATGCCATCTATTAGTAGAGAAGTAACGATGTGAACGAGTTATGTGAATGGGTTGACTTACATCAGTGACAGGAAGTCCCGCTTTCACGGCCTTAACGATTTGCTTCAGTGGAACGTCCTGTGGAT